TGTTAGACCTCTTTTGGTATAGGCATCAGTTGTAAGACCTCTTTTGGTATATGCGTCAGTTCTTAGACCTCTTTTGGTATATGCATCAGTTCTTAGACCTCTTTTGGTATATGCATCAGTTTTTTAGACCTCTTTGGTATATCCATCAGTTCTTAGACCTCGTTTGGTATATGCATCAGTTCTTAGAACTCTCTTGATATATGCATCAATTCTTAGACCTCTTTTGGTATATGCATCAGTTTTTTAGACCTCTTTGGTATATCCATCAGTTCTTAGACCTCTTTTGGTATATGCATCAGTTTTTTAGACCTCTTTGGTATATCCATCAGTTCTTAGACCTCGTTTGGTATATGCATCAGTTCTTAGACCTCTCTTGGTATATGTTTCAGTTCGTAGACTTCGTTTGGTATATGCATCAGTTCTTAGACCTCCTTTGGTATATGCATCAGTTTCTTAGACCTCTCTTGGTATATACATCAGTTCTGTTTAAAGTAAGTTGCACAAGAACAATAATAAAGTGTATGTTTTATGTCGATGTCCAAATACAATTACTTATTGTAGAATCTATATTTAAAAAAAAACAGGGAACTTACTAAGTAGATTTATATAATAGATCTACATGTATAATGAAAATATGGTATGAAGTTAAATTTTACTTACGCACAGTAAAATCGCCGTTGTTGTGGAAGCTCACGCATGTTGTAACGGAGATACCGTTTTTGTCCGCTGGCGCATTTGCACAAAACTTCCATAGTCCAAAATAACCAGACCTAGTTATACCTTGCACGGTTAAAGATAAATAAAACCAATATGGAATTGCTACGCATATAATATTTGAGATTAAAGCTAATCCTAAAAGAGTGAGTCCTATTTTGCCAAATAACATTTTTGTCTCGTTTTAAATCACTTAAATGTTTGAGAGAGCAAAAGACGTCGTATCCCAACGACCAACTAGATCTATACAGGATCTGGCAGTGCACGTACACTATTTGGTTAGTCCATGTTGAGATTAAAAGTAAAATACGATATTGTTTCTTTGTACTATTTACAATATTAACAAATTAAGTTTTTTTATGTAAATTATATTGAAAGTAAATCATTTCTTAAATAAATGTGAAAGCAATCTAAAAACGTTTGACAATCAACATTCCTGCATCCCCTGAAGTGTAATGATATTTGGTGACGTCATTTCCCGGCGTCTCAACGCCGTGATATTGTGATGGGTAGTTTTCGGTAGCATGGGCAAAAGTCACGTGACAAAATGCCTTTCGATTTCTACAGCCGACATTTTATTGTTTTTACGCAATCATTTAACAGCCCATTTCCGTTAAAAGTTACATAGAAACTTTTTTTTTTTCAAAACCATATAGAATCTAAACAGTACTTTTTTCAACACACGAAATATCAGCGTTTTATATTAACACATTTCCGGACATCCTTTCGACATGCTTGAGAAATTCGCCTTAAATGGATTATGTATGGTGGCTGATTTACGCCATCCGTATATTTTCGCGTCTTCGCCTCAAAATGCGAAAATGCGAAAACACGAAGGGACGACATATTTGAACTTATGTGTTCTCACATCGGATCTATGTCTCTCTCGGAGTGAATCTTTTCACGTGTAAAATGTCTTTGAACATTACATTCCTAAGTTTCTATATTTGCAATTAAGAACTTAAATTGTCTTTTTTTGAATAATTTCATTCTTCTTGCGCAATTCTCTAAAATGAAACTTGGTTTTTCTAATATGCGTTTCCACAATAAACCACATTCACCACACCAGGTTGTAAAAAACTTAATTTGGTCCTTAAATCAGTTTTTTACCACAACATCAAGCTTCATTCAGAATTCATGTCTCGTTATTGTGAGCAAAATTCTGAGTTTCCTTTAGATATGAGCAAGAAAATGTTTTATTACCCCCGCCGAAAAGACGCTGGGGATATAGAATTAGTCTCCATCCGTCTGTCTGTCCTTCCGTCCGTCCGTCTACATTTTTGTCCGGAGCATATCTCAAAAAGTATTAATTTGAAACTTCATAGGTGGAGGTATCAACTTGAACTTCATTGGTGGATAAATCATATTTTGGAAAAGTGCAGTGCACAAGACTGATAACTCTACCCTGCATATTTTTTCATTATTGCCCTTTGTTATTCTTCAAACTCAATTTTTGTCCAGAGTATAACTCAAAAAGCCTTTGAGATATCAACATGAAACTTCATAGGTGGATAGATCTAATTCAGGAGATGTGCAATGCACAAGAGTGATAACTCTACCATTCCTAAATTTGAGTTATTGCCCTTTGTTATTTTTCATACTTAATTTTTTCACCTGAATGGAGCATTAATTAACTAAAAAAACAAACTTTGAGATGTCAATGTAATCTTCATAGGTAGATAGATCTTTTTGAGGATGAATGTTGTGAAAGAATGATAACTCTACCCTTTATAGTTTTTGATTTATTGTCATTTGTTATTTCCATACTTTTTGTCTTTCCCCGGAGAAATATCTAAACAAGTGTTAGACGGGTTAACAACTTAAATAGGTGGATAGCTCTTTTTGAATGAGAAGTGCAGCATACTAGAATGATTACTAACCGTGCATTATTTTTCAGTTATATACTAAATTTTCAACCTGAGTGGGGCATATCTCTGAAAAAGTCTCTGAAATGTCAACTATGAAACTTCATAGGTGGATAGATCTTTTTGAAGAGGAATGTTGTGCGCAAAGAATGATAACTCTATTCCTTTGTAATGTTTTAGTTATTGTCATTTTTGTATTTTTCAAACTTTTTGTCCGGAGCTTTATCTCAAAAAAGTGTTAGAGGTAACAACTTGAAACTTCATAGGTGGATAGGCATTATTGGGGAGCAGTGCAGCACACTAGAATGACTTAGTTATTGTTCATAATTTCTTTTTGTCCAGGGTATAACTACAAAAGCATTTGAGATATCAACATGAAACTTCATAGGTGGATAGATGTTACTCAGGAGGTATACAGTGCAAAAGAGTGATAACTCTACCCTTTATAGTTTTTGATTTATTGTCATTTGTTATTTCCATACTTTTTGTCCGGAGAATATCTAAACAAGTGTTAGAGGTAACAACTTCATAGGTGGATAGCTCTTTTTGATGAGAAGTGCAGCATACTAGAATGATTACTAACCGTGCATTATTTTTCAGCTATACTAAATTTTCACCTGAGTGGGGCATATCTCTGAAAAAGTCTCTGAAATGTCAACATGAAACTTCATAGGTGGATAGATCTTTTTGAAGAGGAATGTTGTGCGCAAGAATGATAACTCTATCCTTTGTAATGTTTTAGTTATTGTCATTTGTTATTTTTCAAACTTTTTGTCCGGAGCTTATCTCAAAAAGTGTTAGAGGTAACAACTTGAAACTTCATAGGTGGATAGGCATTATTGGGGAGCAGTGCAGCACACTAGAATGACTTAGTTATTGTTCATAATTTCTTTTTGTCCAGGGTATAACTACAAAAGCATTTGAGATATCAACATGAAACTTCATAGGTGGATAGATGTTACTCAGGAGGTATACAGTGCAAAAGAGTGATAACTCTACCCTTCATAATTTTTGAGTTATTTCCCTTTGTTATTTTCCATACTAAATTTTTCGGAGCTTATCTCATATAATATATCTCATATAATTTTTGAGTCATTGCCATTTGTTATTTTTCATACTTTTTGTCCGGAGCTTATCTCACACAAGACATTTAACCTACCGTGCATTATTTTTCAGTTATTGCCCTTTGTTATTTTTCATACTTAATTTTGTCCAGAGCATAACTACAAAAGCCTTTGAGATATCAACATGAACCTTCATAGGTGGATAAATCTCACTCCAGAGGTATGCAGTACACAAGAATGATAATTATTCTGCTCTACTACATAACTGTTTTTGTTATTGTTTTTAAGTGTGTGTGTGGGGGGGGGGTATTTTTGTTTTTCGCCGTGACAATCATATTGCTGCGTTTCCCAGCAATTTTTTACTTGTTAACTTTATTTTCGAAAAAATCACACCTGCTGAGTTACGCCATGTCGCACAGGTCTTCGTACATTCGCATTTTCGGATAATAAAATAAAAGGCGGTCATACAACACACTAAATATGTGCGAGCGTGCGTGTGTGTGCGTGCTTTTTTTTAAAGTATCCATATTTTTACAAAAAAAAGAATTCACGGGGAGGGGGTTCAGGGTCAGGTGGATCCCATATGGATCTCAAAATTGATCCATATGTGCACTTTAACACCATAAGTGAAAGGGAAGATAGGTCAGTCACATTGTATTGTAATTTTTCAACTATATAAAATTTTTTGTAAAATTCAAAGCCCTTTTGAAGTAAATCGAAATCGCATTCTACTCTCCAGCTCATATTCCTCTATAATTATCCATTTTGGTATCGAATTTTTTTGCAGTTTTCGCCGAGATATACTTTCCGTCGTACGTGTGAAGAAATGCCGTTAACAACTTGACCACCAAACGATGCTTAACATTCAAACAAACCCTTACTGAAATATTAATTCAGATTTGAACAAGGAATGGTCGGTCAAAATTTCATCTTAGCTCCATATGTGCTGAAGAAATCTATGGGCGCATGATATCAAAAATCATCAACCATAATTACGAATGACTTCCATAAAGTAAATTGTGTATCATTTGTTATTAAATCCGAAATAGACAGATTGCCCAAGTCGGGCGAGAATAACATCATCAATAAAGAATGAGATAAAAGACATTTATCAGCTTACTTAAAGCTATGATGGAAAGTCCATGTTTTATTTATTTAAAAGGTATACGTCCGTCCGGTAAGCTTAAATAGGTAAAGCGTTAGACTTTGAATCGGGTGGCCCGGGTTCGTTTCTATCTACCTCTGCCATGGTTTAGGTTTAAGTTCCTTGCGAAAGTGAAATGAAAAATGGACAATGTTAGGAGAAACAAGTAATAATTGGATAGAGAAGTCGCATCCGATTTTGAGATTGAGAAACGCGAAGATGAAACATTAGACCATGGTATTGATGACGGAAAGGACACTTCCGGTGGCAGAGAACTGGAACAGGAAGTGGGAGAAGCAATAATCAAAAATCAAAAAGGAAGGATTAAGGAAGAAAATAAATGTAATAAAAGTTAAGCGGCAACAGGGTGATAGTTGAGTTTTATACTCAGTTGAAGATAATCCACCGTGGCATTTATGTATTCTACTTGGATTTCAGGTGATTACTTTGCGAATCGGTTACCCAAGCTAAAAGTACACATGTTCTATTTGGTATGGTCGATATGATTTATACATTATTCATGTACAGCAAATATAATGGTGGCTGATTTGGAACGCTTTTGTGCGTCGTGTTGGTGCTAGAGACAACAGACAAAGCGCCGAACGGCATGTTGTCGGACTTTCGTCTTGTCGTCCTGTCGCTAACGATGTACGCCAAACGGCGCGTTTTCGTGCAGCATGTTGTCGTGATGTCACATTGTCGCTCGGTTCGAATCAAAGGATTGTCTTATAACACAAGCGACAGGGCGACATTGCGACAACGCACCGCACGACAACGCGACGTTTGGCGCACTTTGCTAGTGACAGGACGTCAGCGCGACAACGCGCCGTTTGGCGATTTGTCGGGTTGTCGCTAGAGTCAAGACGATAAGGCAAAAACGATATAGGTGGCACAATGTTCCAAATCAGCCACCATAAAATATATTGTTAGCGATGTTGCTGGCTCTAAATATATCATTTCATAATCAAAAAGAATTGAAATTAAGAAAACACTGGCATGTTCGGACTAATTATTGTTAAATAAATTTTCTGTTGAGTCGAAAAAAACGTTTCAGATGAAAAGGACAATCGCACCACTGAATTTTGATGAACATTTCATTATAATCTATTATGTCATCCAATGCTGTATTGTTGAATAACTTAATGTGTTGCCTCATTACTGCGAAATATATTGTCTGGTTTTTACCATGCATGTACAAAGTATGCTGTGGCGAAGAAGAGAATGATCGAAAATGTAAAAATGGTGTCCTTGCACGCCAAGTCAAAATCTTGTCGTGTTGTCTTGTTTATCATTAATAAAATTTTTCAGCATAAGAGACTGGCTGAATTTGTGTATTCATTTATTTTTCAATATTCTTGTCATTATTAAATAATCCTTAAAAAACAACCACAACAACAAAATTTATCGTTTCATTGCAGCACTACGTGACAGCTGTCGTGGACATTATTTCAGTTCCATTGATGCTTGCCGAATATTTCTGTATGGACAAAGACGTTGTCGGCATCAGTGAACTTATTGGTAAATTTATTATCTACATTGACATCATACAACACTAACTTTCTACATAGTTTCTACCTATCATTGTGGAATGAAACCGTGAGGCGCGGTGGCCTTGTACAGAGATTATGGGTTCGAGTCCTAATCCGTTCACGAACATGTTTCTCCATATGACACAAATACTGGTTGGTTCAAAGAAGGCGACTTCGCAATCGAGCTTAATAAATCAATAAAACCGTGCAGGCCTCACCATGAGTATACCGAGTTAGAACCTCATGTCTTCATTAAACCAACTCAATATCTTTTAAAGAAAGTCATGATTCGTTTTTTGAATGGAACCTGGTTCTAAAGAACTGCAAAAGTTTAAAAGACAACTTAAATTGAACGATTTGACCTCTATTCTAATTAAAAACTCGTGTAGTTAAATTCGTTTATTGATAAAGTTAAAATGATAATTCGTACAAATAAAATTATGAATTTGTAAAGCTTATATCATGAATTTATATAGTTAAAACCATGAATTCAAGCTGTAAATAAATTTATGAAGTTAAATTTCCTTACAAGTCTTTCGTATTAAAATTTTATGAATATGTGCAAATTCGTTATATTTGTCTTACTGTTTTCTGATAATGGGGCTAAAACGTTGATATCTATATGCAAAAATGTTTTGTTTGTCTTTCATTCATAATCATTTTAATTCTTTTTAGGGAACATCGTGTTTGTCTCTGGTCTGGCTACCTTGCTTCAGAGCACATTGGGTGTTAGACTACCAATAGTTCACTGTTACTTTTGTTGTACCAACTATAGCAATTCCTCTTTAACCGCAATGGGAGTGTGAGTACGAAACAGCTAAGAACCAGTATGGACCAAATCTAAATTTAACTCAACTTGTGTTGCCGGAAATAGGAAGTGAAAAACACCGTGAAATGTGGATGTTACGGATACGTGAAATACAAGGAGCTATAGTTGTGGCCTCGCTGTTCCAAGTGCTGACAGGAGTAAGTGGTATACTAACGTACATGTTGAAGTATATAGGCCCTCTTTGCATTGTGCCAATCATAACATTAACAGGTATTTCACTTTTTCCCGCCGGGTCCAAGATGGCGTCTGGCCATTGGTGGATTGCCTTACTTACAATGTTCCTCATTACTATATTTAGCCAATATATGAAACGAGTTTAAATCCCCTGTTTCTGCATAAAAGATAAAATTGCATTTTTCTCGCTGTTCCCGGTTTTGTTTGGAGTTATGACGTCGTTTATAGTGTGTATAATTTTGACGACAACAGATGTACTTCCGGCTGATAAAACCAAATTGGGTTATATGGCACGAACTGACACAAGTATTCATGTACTTACTGAAGCTAAATGGTTTCGTTTTCCTTATCCCGGGCAGTGGGTTGTACCAAAAGTCAGCATGGTTGGTGTATTTGGAATGCTCGCTGGCGTAATAGCTGCCATGATCGAATCCATTGGTGATTATCACGCATGCGCAAGACTTGCAGGTGCTCCTCCTCCGCCATTACATGTTGTGATCAGATGAGTTTTCACAGAAGGTGTTGCATGCGTTCTTGCAGGGATTTGGGGATCTTGAAACGGAACTACCTCTTATGCTGAAAACATAGGCGTAATTGGTATAACAAAAGTAGGCAGTAGACGTGTAGTCCAAATCGGCGGGCTTATGATGCTTGTCCTTGGTTGTTTTGGAAAGTTTTCGGCACTGTATACTTTAATTCCAACACCTGTAATCGTGGGAATATTTATGATTACTTTCGGTATGGTGACGGCTGTAGGGTTATCAAATCTACAGTATATTGATCTTAACTCACCACGAAACCTATTTATTCTAGGAGTTTCTTTATTCTTCGGTCTTAGTCTTCCAATGTGGATTACAGAGCATGACGTCATCGATACCGGAAATGACATCATAGATCAAGTATTATCCGTTCTCTTGAGTACCAGTATGTTTGTTGTTTGTGTCCTGGAACTGACGAGGAAAAGGGAATTAACTCGTGGAGACAAACGTCGTCTTCGGTAAAGTCCGGCTCGTCACAATCAAATTATGATCTGTATAATTTCCCTTATATTCATTCTTATCTGGACAAAATTAAACTATTTAACTATATCCCGGTGTGTCCAAGGTTTTTAGTCAAACCTGTAATCGTGAAAAGCTTTTCAAACGAAGATATGGAGTAAAATAAGCTATGGAGTTAGTTCTTTGTAACGTGCTTGTTTTTCCTCTTTTTTGTAATGGTACATGTTTTGTTTTGTAGATTGCAAGTTTTGTTATTATACGGTGTAACCATATAGGCGGTGTAAATGGGAGCACATATAATGTATTCACGAAGCATACTTATGAATCTCTGTTCATGGTTAATAAAAGTGCGTATACACCCTTGTATAGCTAATACCATAGAGGTATTATGAAAACTGTGTAATAGTGTCATCTTATTGTTGTTATGAATACTAAATGTGGAAATTGACTTTTATTTATAATTTTTGGCAGCTGTATTCTGAATACATTCAGTAGAGTTTAATAAAATGCAACCTTGACAAATGCCTGTTTAGATCTGCACAGTAGTATATACATGCAGTTATGCATGCTTTTATTATGGTCATTACACAATAACTCGAAAATACACAAAAGAACGTTATTGAGTATAGACAATTTGTATAAAAAATGCAAATGCTTGCATCATAAAAGGTAATGGTGATATTTTTCTTTATAACTCAATAAACATTGAATGATAAATACGAGGGCTGTTCAATAAATACGCGGAAAAGTGTCGCTATTTCCTTATTTTCAAAGTTAGCTGAATAAAACTTATACCGTAATAGAGACAAACATATTTTGAAAATATACAGCAAATATTGCCGGTCTGGCATGAATCATATGTAAACAAACGGTCGTTATGGTAACCACATGTAGCGATTACCGGCCCCACTTTTGTTCAATTTTTACAAAATAGTCACTGGTTAATAATGACGTCGCATTTTAACGTTTACCGTGCGATTTTCACCAAACTTTGCATAATTTACGCGCAATATGTTGGCGTTACGCACATGATGTCATGTTAGTGTGTGTCGTCATTTAGGCGTTAAACGGCCATATTGTTTAGTGCGTAGGCGTTAAAATGGCATCGGAACCACGATCTTTCAATAAATTTTGTGTTTTGAACGGGTTTACAAAGAAAGAAACCAATGTTAAGATTACAAAAAGCATATGGTGATCAGGCGATGAAGAAAACAGCAATGTACAAGTGTTATGCCCGATTTCTAGGCGACCAACAAAGCATCCATGACGACAAACGCAGTTGACGTCCCAACGTAACGTCAAATCACGTCGCTGTGATAAAGGAGCTGCTTGACAATGATCGTCGGATAACAATTCGCAAAATACACGAAAGATCGGATTGTAGCATTGGCACAGTGCATCGCATTAATCACGATCATCTCAATATGAGACGCCTGTGTGCCAGGTGGATTCCTAAAATGTTGACGGACGAACAAAAAGCGATTTCCTTCTGTTCCCGACACTGAAGAACGTCCTGCGGGGAGAACACTTTGATGATGTGGACGAGTTGTCCAACGCGGTGCAAGGTGCAATTTCAGGGATAAATAATGGCTCCTACTTTAATAGTTTCATGTCATGGATCAACCGTTGTAAAAAGTGTGTTTCCTTTCACGGAGAGTATTTCGAGAAGGACTAGGTGCGTGTTTTGGGTGACTCTCATACATGCGTTGAGCGTGACGTCGTTACGACGTTGGGCCGGTTTCACTGCGATTACCTTAGAAATACTTGAAATTGTACTAATAATTTTTATCCGATTTTATTGAAATTTTGTGTACATGTTTACTATATGTTTATTTACAAAATGTAAAGAGAACGTCAATTTCCCATGAATATTAAAAATATCGCAGCACTTTTCCGCGTATTGAACAGCCCTCGTAGATATGATAAAGACAAAATATGAAAAAAGGAAATGATAACATAAAAATGGGTTATGATGTGTTTAGTTCCTGCTATCTCAATAAAAATATAACAAAAGTTTGTTCTACAGAAGAATAAATGGTAAGCTATTTTGCTAAATTAACATTTAAAAAAAAAAAATTAAAGATATTCAACAGATGTGATTATTATTTAAAATAAAGTATCCCTTACTCAGTAATGTGAAAATGAAAGCGTTTAAGGTACAAATTTTCAATTATGTGAAAATGAAAGCGTTTTAAATACGAATGTTCAGTTAATATGTGAAAATGAAAGCGTTTAAAATACGAATGTTCAAATATGTGAATATGAGAGCGTTTAAAATACGAATGGTCAGTTATGTAAAGCTGAAAATGAAAGCGTTTAAAATACAATGTTACTTTATGTGAAAATGAAATCGTTTAAAATACTTATCATTTGAAGTAAGCATTGCCTCTATCTACTTATGTACTAATTTGTTTTGGTAACAACATAAACAAAATTTTGAAATAATAATTCAAAAATGTGTTGAAGTTTTAAGTTCTTTAATCTATCTGGCAGTATCGCGAAAAACTTGAACATATTTATTATTTGGTTGTAATTGTAACCATTATGAGGCGGTAACAACGAAAATGAAAGTACAGTGTCCTTCAGAAATGCAAAATGAGCTTACAAAAAAATCCAAACAAAAGAAATATTTATTACTTTTTCATTAACGCCATTTCTTGATTGGCATTATAAGTTATACATGTGTAACAAAATAGAAATCATTTCAGAACACTTTCCATAACTTGCAATAAAAGAAGCAACTATAAGTGCGACAATTCCTTTCTCACCAAAGATGCAAAAAAGAAACACAATAACATTAAAACCGCCACGACGCCATTTTTAAGTTATAAGTTCTTAAAAGAACAAAAAAATCTGGACACATATACTCTGTTCCGATCTTCCTTTTAACGAAATACAGTTAAATTAAACAATTAAGGCCTGGCATAGCTCTGTCAGCCAGGATCAGCATCGATGAAGCCACAATATTGAGTATTCCAGCAACACTACTCAAACCAAACGATGCATGAGGTTTGAAATGGACCAAGGGGCTAATCGATTCCGCAAATTTCTTTATCTCGTTGTCGACAACAAACATAATGACACCGGTTATCACGAACAAGCCTGCACAAATATAATAAATAAATAAATAATTATAATAAAAATCGGAGATGTGATGTTGACCAGTGATGTTCACACGATTTGTTAGATAGCATATATGGCTCTAAATGAATTAAGCTCTCCGACATTTCACTATCATTGTAGCTTTATACGTCAGGATGCAAGAATTTGACGGATAAACCTTCCAAAGTATAAGCTTGAAATAAAGATTGTTTTGATATGTTAAGTTCATGTTTTTCATATATAACATAAGGTCATTTTAACTATTTGCATTATCATCATCTTCTCCATAACCATCTTTATTTCTTCATCATAATTACCTCGTCATCATAAACATTATAATCGCATCATCATAATAATCATTGTTTCATCGTCATAATCAATAATTTATCACAATCATCATTATAATCTTTATCTCATTACCATTATCTCATTATATTAATAATCATCATCATCATCACCATCTTTTTCTCATTATCTTAATATCATTATCATTATCTTATCATCATAATCATCATTATATTATCATCATAACCATAAGTACATAGTTATCATCAACATTATCATCAATAGAAATCATCATTACTATCCGTACATCATCATGATTCATTACAATGTTCTTAATCAATATCAATAAATCATCAGTTTATCAGTGCATCATCAGCATCTGACATTACCATTGTAAAATTGGTAATCATGGTCGCAGTCATGTAGCTGTAGCCGTCGGTAAAGCCGAGGTCGTATCTGTAGTTATAACAGTGGTTGTAAGCGCCGTCCAAGCTGTTCTGGTAATTTTAAATGTCACAGCCATAGTTGTTATGGTCTTAGTCGTGGTCCTAGTCTAATATAAAGTTGTCGTAGTCGCAAAAGTTGTAGTTGAAACTGTACTGGTAGTCTAAAAGTTACTAGACTTCAAGGGTGGCAGAATTAATTGTCACTATGCTTCAGGTAAAACAGACAAGTAGGTCAATATCTGATTTTGCTGGCTCGAGTAGTAGTCTATGCATAGCTGTACGAGTAGCTGTCTAGTGGTCATAGAAAATACCAATATACTTGCTGTCGAGGTCGTCCTGTAGATAACGTATTGTTATCGTAAAAGTGTTATAAGAACTTTGTTCAATGGTACGTAGTCGTGGTTGTTTAATTCCAGGCGTAGTATTTAAAGTCTTAATCAATGTAATGTCTATGATTTCCTTATGGTCACTATTATCTTTTTTTGTGTCTTATAAAAGTGATTATCCTGTCCTTGATCTGCCATGTGCCTTGACCTGCTTTTGTGACTTCTTGCCGCTGGTCCTTGTTGCTGGGTCGTATGGGGGTTGCGTTCATTGAACGTCGCCTTTCCTTATTGATATTGTTAGCTCACCAGAGCCGAAGGCTCAGGTGAGCTATTAGTATCAAAGGGGGATGCTCCGGCGTCCATCGTCCGTCGTCCGTCGTCATGCGTCGACAATCGTCTTCTTCTCCGAAACTACTGGACAGATTTACTTCAAATTTGGTCTGTAGCATCCTTGTGACAGTCACACTTGAATTTGCTCATGTCATTCCAATTGACCCCTTTTAGGGGTCAGCATAGCTAAAAATAGAAAAACCTTTAAACATCTTCTTCTACAGAACTAATGGTTGGATGATCACCAAACTTTGTCTGTAGCATTCTTTGGTAGTCTTTTATCAAGTTTGCTCATATTAATTTGATTGACCCCTTTTGGGGGTCTCTATGGCTAAAAATAGTAAAACCTTTTAAGGTCTATTTCTAGAGAACTAATTGATGGATGATCAACAAACTTTGTCCTTAGCATTCTTAGGTAGTCTTTTATCAAGTTTATTAATATTATTTTGATTTGCCCCTTTAAGGGGTCTCTAGGGCTGAAAATAGAAAAAAACCTTTAAACATCTTCTCCTACAGAACTAATTGATGGATGATCACCAAACTTTGTCTGTAGCATTCTCGGGTAGAGTTTTATCAAGTTTGCTCATATTAATTTATTGCCGCTAAAGCTAAAAATAGAAATTCAGTTAATTGTCTATTTCTAGAGAACTTATTGATGGATGATCACCAAACTTTGTCTGTAGCATTCTTGGGTAGTCTTTTATCAAGTTTGCTTATATTATTTTGATTGGCCCTTTTTAGGGGTCTATAGGGCTAAAAATAGAAAAGACCTTTAAACATTTTCTCCTACAGAACTTAAAAATGCGTCAAAGACAGAAAAGGCCGGGTTGCATTTGTACACCAAATATCATGAGGCTGTGTTGTTACGAAAAAAAAATTCCATTGACCCATTAATGTCGAAAATTTAATTCAGTAGGTAAACAGGAAGTGGACTAGCTACACACCTATAATCGAATCCCACAGTATGGGACCATGTGTCAATGCTGTATGCCAAATATCAAGAGGCTGTGATTAGTAGTTTTTCTGAGAAAAATGTTACGAAAACTTCCTACCATTGAACCATTAATGTGAACAGGAAGTGGATGAGGCTGCAGACTTGAAAATCGAATCCCACAGTGAATGGGACCATGTGTCAATGCCTAGGCATGCCAAATATAAAGAGGCTGTGATAAGTAGTTGCCTGAGAAAACTGCTTACGAAAATTTCCTACCATTGACAATTAATGTCAAAAAATCAAACTTAATTTAACTAAGTGCGATGAACAGGGAAGTGGATGAGCGACAGACCTGACAATCAAATCCCACGGTATGGCTGACAATGTTGTGAATGGCTGTAGGCCAAAATATCAAGAGGCTGTTGATAAAGTATTTTGCTGAGAAAACTGTTACAAAAAATTTCCTAGCATTGACATT